TTTTTTTTTGGGAATACTTGGTTGCTGTTGACCCCCCTGCAAAAAGTTTAACTTTCTCGGGGTTTAGTAAAAAACACCGTTATTCCCAAAAAGTTAAAGTCGAATGATCCAACCCAATAGCAGTCAAGACGAAAAAGGCCCTTTGTCCGCCAAGGACAAGCTCTCGGGGGGCGGGGTCCCAGGAAGCGTTGTTGGTTCTCACAACTCATGAGCTCAGAACTTTTGAAACGGGATGCACCGGGTTTTCTGGGCCCTGTTTAAGCGAATGACATGGGTGAGGTATGCTTGGCTGGCGTTGGCTGGAGCGGGTAAGTGCTGCTTGAGTTGTCTTGCCCAACCCTTGGAACAGTTGAAGTTGGGAACGCCTTTTATCATGGTGAGAACGCTGGATCCTTCCAAAAGGTGCGTGGGCCTGGGTCATTGGGGGTTCCCCTTCGGGCCGGCGACCTGGTCAGGTCGCCATATCCCCTTGAAGCACACGGCTCGCAGGTCCGGGAGCGCAATCAAGCCAATTTCTCTGCCTGACCACCCTGGGTATGAGTGGCCCAAATGGATTATTATATATAATCCTGCTTAACATGATCAATGCACACACGCACCAGTGGTCTTCCAAGTAGTCCAAGTCCGACCTCTATGGGGACAAACTGCTAAGTGGCAAGCTAGCAATGGCTAATGTTGACCCCGGATTAATGAACCCCTGTTTATCAATATGGGGGTGTTCCCCTCCAAAAGTGATGATTCCCCACATTCCTAGGGATTGCTAGGGTTATCCCATGAAACAGCTTGATTGAATTTCAGGATGCCCTGCCGCAAAGGGACCCCAACGTTTACCAATTGGTTTATCAATCCAGTGTTCTCAATAGTCATGCAAGGGGCTCATAAGAGGCACGTCTTCCTGAGGAGTGTCTGAACTTCTTGAGGGGAGCCCTTTTTTGGGATTGGTTTAAAGGGAAACCAAAAGAACCTCTCCGCCCTATTTGCGCGGGTCCCCTAAGAAAGATACATCCATACAAACGTTCGTACGACAAACAAACACACAGACAAACAAACAGACATAGATACATTGATACATCTTATATATATATACATATGTATGTATATACGTGAATACATATTTTATTGGTCAATAATATAGACACACCCATGTACAGGCCTTTGTTTGTGCTGTTTGTCTTGTTTTATTGTGTTTTTTCGGGGGCGGGTGGGTGGGTGGTTGGGTGGGTGGGGTTTGGTGGGCAAGGGACACTTCCCTCAGAACCCCAAACGTCGCTGAGGATGTCCAATGCGTGGCTTGGCACCGTGCCGCAAGCGAGGCAAGGGCCCTCACTTTTGACAAAATCTGCGAACAGGTAAGTAAATCAAACAAAAAGCGTCTATATGTGTTGATGTACGCACAAGACAACATGCAGGCTTTGTATATGCATGCGCAAGAAATCTAAGATCGATGAACACAGGACATTAAATCAGGAATCCCCAACTTCGAGCTGGATTTATCTCCGGATCCGTTTTGCCTACTTGATATTATTATTCCCTGTGCCCATGAGGAAGGGTCCCTTATTTTGGGTATGCCCCCTGACCGAGCCACGGACTTTGGAGCAAACAACAAGCCACGCATGTTTCATGGAGGCACGCTCAGCTCCTCCCTGCCCAAGGTTTTCTCGTGGGTGAGCAGCTGAAAGACCAGGTAGGCCACGTAGGATGACCTAAAAGAAGTTTGTTTGTTGGATGCTGAGAACCCATTTGGACCCTGTTTAGGGCCCCCTGCCAAACACACGTCCTACAAAGACTGCCCCAAACAATTTTCACTCAGGAACACGGGGAAGTAGCTGGAGGTTGATTCCATTGTTAACACATCCTGCCAACAAAAGAAGGATTCAGAAGGTGCCACACCAAACAACTAGGCCATGAACAGGGGCTCACGAAACCCTGATCCAGGTATCTAAGAGCTCAAGCATGTACCCCCTATGGAAGCCAGCTTCACATTCGGAACTTCGCGAAAAGGCCCCGTGCATTTTCAGCAAGACTCGCTTCGCGAGTGCAGAACACTGACCACAGGCTCTGGCGAATGTGGGACTCGGGGGAGCGCGGATTTTTGCAACTTGGCAGAAAGGTGGGATTGGTTGGCACACGATATCTTGCAAGGGGGTGGGAGCGTCACTGAGTGAAGCTTGCTGAGTCTGGGACTCCCAATGTGTGTTGTTGAGTGCTCAATTGATAGCTCACGAAGTGCTTAGAGTGCATCCATGTTCAATCCTCATCGGCCACCCTCTCCACGCCAAGCAGCCAAGTGCAGCGCATTCCGATTGCTTTCATGCCCATTTCGGGGTAGCCTGCTGCCCAATGACCGAAAGGTAGACAAATCTTGCGAACAGATTAAGTGGGTCCCGAACAAACCAAACTGGAGGTATACTGTAGGGCCTTGGAGGTAGGGCTTTAGATCAGCCCAGTCCAGGTTCTGGGCAGGACGATGCACGCCCCAATGCGGGAGACCTGCAGAACGGAAGCTGATCGCCCTCCATATGACCATGATGCATGGGTCTAAATCATTAGAATGGTGTGGGGGTGCCAGCTTCTCATGCATGAATCACAAGTCACGATAGGAAAAAAGTCTGTAGCTATTCAGCTCCTTGTGTAGCAGGGTTGTGGGAAGGGGTTGGGAAATCCTCCAAGCAGCGTGCCCAGAAAACAACAATAATTGCCACTGGCCACGGGTTGAGAGGGGACCATACGTTCAGCATGGATAAAGGACGCGTACTTGGCTGTTCGATTTAGAAGGCACCTCGAACAATGGAACAGCTGGGCAACTGGGGGCTTTCTCAGAAGGATGCCTTGCAATGTGCTCACTACCAAGTGCCAAATGAAGAGGTCATTTCATTGTTGAAAACTGACTGGGGACAAAAGGAAATACCAAAAACACTGTAAAGGAACCATTCTCGGAAGCCCATGCAAACCCAAACAACCATCCAAGGGTACTAAGGGTCCGGCCAAGAGAAAGTGTGGCAAAAAGGAGCCCCGAAGGCCCAGTCCCATGTCACTGGGACGGTGCCCATAGGAACCTGTTGCCTTGGATCAGCTTTTGGGTTGACAAGTTGGCATCCAAGGAAAACAACTTGAATCACCTTGGGGAAGCCGAGTCACGTGCAGAACTCCAAAAGGAAAGCCTCGCTTTGAGCTGAAACCGCAAAGCGGGGGACAACTATACCCCAAAGAAGCCCCCAAACGGCGAAGCAGCGATTTCGCATGGGTTGTTTTTTGGAGCGCCAGGGATAGGGAGCCGGTCGTTTTCCTATCTAGTATTCAGATGGTTGCCTCCCAAAAGATGGAACGACAAAAAAATCACTAGGTTTTGCTTACTTCATCATGGGCATGTGGGCGCCGGCCATAGTTTTCGTTACCCCCTCCTACCAAACATGGAAGTGCCCAGCCCCGCTATGAAAGACTGGCTTGCCGATGGAGAGAGGCCTGCGCACTTCTGTATTTGTTGGTGGGCTGGGATTGTACGGTAGTTTCCCCCTTCCCCGTGGAATGAAAGGGCGCGAATCTGGTACTTGACAAAGGGAAGCCCACTCCACAAGAAGCGAGTTGAATCTGGGTCTGGGTACCGCTTTTGCTTTTTGGCGCCTTCAGCACGGACTCATGGTCATCCGACGGGTAGGAGTTGAAGATGGTCGGCAGGGCCTTGGCTGAAGGCGACGCCTTGCGTTTGGCGCGCAAAAAGCGTCGCCAAGCGCCGAGGAGAGCAATCCATCATAGAACTGCGCCTGCCCCAAACCAAAAACAGTTTGGCAAGTACTTTAGTCTTGGTGCAAGGTGTGCTTGGGGAAGGTGTGAAAGAACAAGACTCGAATCTTGACAGGTCGCGCACAACCAGGTGTTGAAAGGCTTCTTCAGCTAAAGTTCCGAGCAAACGGCTTTACCTTTGGCTGAATGAAACCTTCCCACGCCCTGATTTAGGGAAGGTAACACATCATGGAGATAGCAGTGTAGAATACATGAAAGCCCAATATCTCTCTATTGGGTTTGCTTAATTATACATGGATATCAGCAATGCTCTCTCATGTCGTTAGACATCGGACAGTTCAGTATGCAAATCCGACCAGGAAGGGTTTGGCTCCGGTTGGCTACCAAGGTTTAGATAGGCCCCAATGCCTATTGACTTTTGGTTCCAACGTGCTTCTGAAGGCTTATGCGGGTCTGTTCTGAAGGCTTATGCGGGTCTGTCTCAAAATCGGGGACGCCAACAAATGGTTATGGTTTCCTTTTGGCTTCCCTGGCCACCAGCCACAAATATTCTCCTCCGCTCGGAAGCACCATGTCGTTGTTGATTGTTTGGCCCCAGCATCGCAGGTTTTGAATGGCACTCGGTGGAAACTTGGCACAAGGCCGAACTTGAAAGAAGCGCCGCACCACCGGCCGTGGCAGCACCGCGACATTCACCTTTACAACTGCTTGCTCTTGCTCCTAAAGTGCTCGAGCGCGCAAGGCAAGCAAAGCCACGCAGGCGTCTTTGCAAGTGCGCTCAAGGTCAAGGAGGGCCACCTACACAGGCGGGGTGTTTCAAGATAGAGCCTGGCACGAGCCTTGGTCTTGTGGGGAAACCCTCCCAAAATCCGATTTGGGAAGCATGTATCCATTCCCCTTGAAGAGTTCGGGTTCAATGTGCATTTCCCACCACTGAACAGAATCAGATCGAGGAACTTCAGCCCTCAAGGTCAAAGTCCAAGGGCAATCAGAAAGCCATGCTTTGTCGCAAAGAGTTTAGAATATGGCTACCCTTTTTTCTGTAGTCTTCTTTAATAGGGGAACCCCCCCAAAAGAAGGGTAAAAGGGCACTACTGTGGGACGACCTAGAAAAGGTACGTCGATCCCACCTAGTGCTTCCAGCAAGGCAACCGAGCTTGCGAGTACCCCTGGTGATGGTAGATTGGAAGCGGGCCACGTTTGTTGGCTTCTTGTGTGTGTGTGTGTTAGAATAGAAGGATCCCCAAAATGGGTGGTGT